GAGGGAGGGAGGGGGGCGAAGCCACAGCCTTTGCGGCCATTACAGCAAAGCCTGCGCAGGGTTCCGCCGCGCCGCGAGTTACACACCCGTGAGAGATAAGGAGCGCCCGTGAGTGAGTAGAGTTAGTTACCCTCCAGCGGCGGCGGGGCAGCAAGCCGGGGCCGGGCCGGGCCGGGCCGGGCCAGCGCCACCCACTCCGACCGTTTTCTCATCTCCCCGCTCGAGGGGCGCGGCGTGGCGCGGCGTGGCGTGGAGCCTTTGGATTATGCGTGCGGCAGATAATATCGAAAGGGAAGCGGCGACAGCTCCGGCCGTAAGTCACCCGCCCGGCCAGGGGGGCTCCCTGGGTCGGGGGGCGGGCGGGGCGCACCTCACCCTCACCTAGCCCAGCCGATACTCTCGAACTGATAGGAGGGCTCCCGTCGGGGCGATGAACCCAGTCGCGTTAGACCCAACAGGGATTACCATTGATGTGCATCGTATGGAAAGTACTTGCAGAGATTAATACATTGTAACCAATATGAAAATGCAGGATAAGTAAAATAAATGACTAATAAAAACATCAAAAACTGCACGCAAAATATTGTGTTTGCTAAGCAACGGTTTGCTAAATATAGCCTAGGTATTTTTATACAAAGGCTCACTTCTGTTGCAGCAAACATACCATTTTGCGCGTTTACTTCGTTGACGAAAATATGTTAAGTGCTGAAAGTGTTGGAGAAGTCTAGACCAGGACCTACGACAAGTACCACTCTGAAAAGGCAAAAGGCCCCATGTATTCCAGCCTAGAGCCGACAACGACGTTCACTGCGACACGTCCCTGTCCCTCGCTGCTCGCCTCCTCGAGGAAGTGAATTTCAGTGACGCACGGCGCTCCTGCAAGGCGCGCGATGGGTCGGGGACGGTCTGCTGGGCAGGGCAGGAGGAGGACGGAGGAGGGGGGAAGGGGGGGGACAAATGGGGGTAGCTTAGGAGACGCACCTCCGCGCAGACGTGACCATGCTGGCAAGCAGCGGGCGGGCCGGCCCCGCACC